GGTCACTTGCATGTCAAACTATTTCTAGAACCTTAGAGAGTACTGTGTACTGTGACTTGTCGCACACATACTACTCAGCGAAAGGCCAAGGGCAGAACATGTACTAGCTTGCAGGTTGCCAGCACTGTACTACATGCCTACAAGCCTACAATTCATCATCAATAAATGAAGATGGAGAAAAAAGGACATTCACATTTTTAGGGCGTTTAAGTAATAAGGTAGAAAAACAGTGATGATTTACATTTGTGGCAAGTTGCTCTGCAGCTCCAGGCCACCGTCCTGGAGCTAAGCAGGGGAAATGTAGAAAATTACGAGAATGTATGCTAATAGTATTTACAGAAATATCAGATGGGACGCCCTTTCAGACGTATGCTCAGCAGTCAGTACACCACATTGAAGACTGAAGAGTAACCGTATATTCCTTCCATCTAGTCCTCTTCTTTTGACCAACCCAAGGAAGCATTTCTTTTCTTAGAGACAAGGAAGAAAGTACTCCAACTGGGAGAGTGTGTGTTTCAGTGTGATCAAAGTTGACTTGTTCAAGATGAACATACTAATCACTCTGCACATGACAAAAAGTGGAAGTTCACTAATCCACTTGATTGCCTGCAAGTGAAAAACCAATCCTATTGAATCATTTTTCGCCTATCACCTGAATCAAGTTTCTCACCTGAACCTAGTTTCGCCTGTGGCTTATAACTTAGAAATAATCCTATCACCTGAACCTAGTTTCTCATCCTCAAGTGGATAATCAATTTCCACTTGAACCAATTTTGCAGTACTTGATATGCCATGACAGAAATGTAAGTTCAGGTTTCATGATCCTGCAGAAACGAGAACACCAAAAAGACCTACCAGGTTGTGGTAGTTGGCGAGCTTGGCCATGGCGGTGCTCTCGCCGCCGGGGATGATGAGCGAGTCGAGGCCATGCAGCTGCTCCGGCTTGCGCACCTCCACCCCCTTCACACCGATCCTCCTCAGCGCTGCCCAGACAGAACCCGACGGGATCACGAGAGAACACGTCGCCGACACGCGCGAGAAACGCGAGAATGAAGATTCGGCGTACCGGACATGTGCTCGTTGTAGGATCCCTGCAGGGCGAGAACGCCGACCACCGCCATCGCTCCCCCGCCTCTCTAACTCCTGTTCTCTCCCCTTGCCTTCGGAATCGGTCGGGATGTGTGGTGGTGGGGGTCAGAGACTCGGAGATAGAGGTAGGTGGTGCCGGGTATTGACGATGGAAGGGGTGGCGGCGTCCTTTGCCGTGGCGGCGGCGAGCCGGCGACCACACGCGGTGGCTGACGGAGATGCAGCTCCACCGAGAGAGTGGGGGAGAATGGCAGTGGGAGTTGCTCAATCCTGGCCGCCAATCGGTGCAGAGCCGTGCGAGCACGTCGGTGGGACAATCTCGGCCGTCCGTTTGTTACTGTCATGGGCCGAAACACATCTGCCTCACTAGCTCATTGGGCCGGAAATCCCCTCCACGTTCCCCTCCGGCCCCATTCCCATGCCACCTCTCTTAAGGGCATCTTCAATACCAACCCGTAAAAAATCTCCCGTATCCGTTTGGGGTCAGAGGGATCAGTATGTGAACACTGATGCGGGAGGACGTCATCCAACTGTAGTCGCATACTCTGGTCTTTCGTTTTTTTCCTAATCCGCACGATTAAGTTGCCGCATGCAAAGGGGACATACGTTCAAATAGCCGCATGCATCACTAGTTCAAATTTTAAAAAGTTCAAATATTCACATCCCAACATCATTGTCCCCTTTTACCGCCCACTGATGCTCAATCAGATTTTCCTTCAGCTGCTCGTGAATTGGTCCATGTCGAATTTATTGATGCATTTGAATAAACTCCTCAAATGTGGCAGGATTCGGTTTCAGAAGTTGGATAAGATCACCCATGTTCTCCAATTCTAGAGCTGCGTCAGCATTGTCACCCTCGTCCTCGACGACCATGTTGTGCATAATCACACAACATGTCATCACCTCCCACAAGGTCTCCAGATCTCATTGTTTCGCAGGTCCACGAACAACTGCAAAATGGGCCTGAAGAGCTCCAAATGCCCTCTCGGCATCATTTCTAGCTGATTCTTGTCTTTGGGCAAAGTGAGTCTTTTTCTGGCCAACTGGGTTTGTGATGGTGCTGACAAAGGTAGTCCTTGAAGGATAGATACCGTCAACCAGATAGCGGCCCATTTGTACTCACGTCCATTGACAATATAGTGGCAAGGAGGAGTTTTTCCTTCAGTCAGTCTCTCAAACAACGGAGATCGTTGCAGCACATTGATGTCATCGTGAGACCTCGAACATGTCAAAGAAAGCGTGCCAAATCCAAAGATCATGTGATGCAACTGCTTTAAGAATGATGGTGGACTTCTTAATATGACCCTTATATTACCATTGTAAAGCCTTTGGGCAATTCTTTCATTTCCAATGCATGCAGTCAAGAGATCGAAGCAAACCTGGCCATCCTTTGCTTCTGAGATTGCTAGGTGCCTCTCCATGTCTGGCAGTTGGTTCTCTCGGGTACCGAGGTCCAAACACCTCGACAACAACAGTTGCAAACCCGACCATGGCATCTCCACATGTGCTCTCACCCATCCGTAGGTACTCGTCCCATGAATCAGCGGTCGTGCCATATGGAAGCATCTGGAGTGCGGCCATGCACTTCTGGAAACAAGATAAGCCAATCGTTCCCACGGCGTCCTTCTTAGGATGAGGTAGTCATCGTAGGACTGGACGCCATGGTACAAATGATCGAAGATAGTCTTGCGCATCCGAGAACGTCGACGAAAATGGCCAGGGGATAGTGCATCAGGGCAAAGTAGTCGGACATCAGTGTCAAATGCCCACGCGCCCTGTTGCGGTTGAGCACTCGACAACCCTTGATTGAGCCCTTGAAATTGAGAACATGCTCCTCCGCACGCTCCGCGTCTTCAAGGACCGCCTGCATCATCACCGTCTCACCGGGGTACTCCTTGTCTAACGAGCCGTCGGATGACTCAACATACTGCTCATATATTGACTCATTGCTACAAACAAGAAGGGATAGCTGATTTCAGCTCCAGCGATTCGCCGAACAGTTGTCGGGCACAATAGAGGATGGTACCTGGCGGGAGGGGGGGACGGAGGACAAGGGGGTTGAATGGAGACGGAGGAGAAGCGGCGGGGAGCCCTACTGGATCGCAGGAGGTGACAGAGACGCGGATTTCTGGCAGGGATGTGGCATGGTGGCCGGGGTGGTGGAGCAGCGGCGACGGCAAGAGAGAAAGAAGGAAGGAGAGAAAATTGGGAGGATGGATCGGGGGTCCGAAAAGGGTTTTGGGTGGGACTGGGGTGCCGGATTCATACGTTTCGCGTGTCCGGACTCCCGCAAACCTCCCCCACTTTTGTCTCCATTTTACGGGAGAAATCGCATCTGGACCGCCGAGCGAACCGATGCAAGACCGCGTTGGATGGCTTCTGCGGTCCGGACAGCATGATCTGGATGGTTGCGGGAGGTTAACGGCCCACGTTGGAGATGCCCTAATACCCGTACCCATACCAAGTGACACACAAGGTTTTTCTTAAAGGGGAAAGGATCTGAAGGACCCAAAAGCTGCAGTAGATAAGAGAACTACAATGGGACCCCCTATTTCATTCCTAAACGTCTGAAACGCCTGCTCGGTCCGGTCAGTGTCCGTTAAGAAAAGTGATCCAACTGAACCCCTTATTTTCTCCTCAACTGCCCAGACTGACCGACGTATCTCAAACCAGGACCAAATTTGGGGGCAATATAAGAGTGACCAGAAATGCCAGGGCACCCTGCTCCACGTCATAGCCATTCTAGATTGTCCCACCTATGGCCACCCACTCCTTCTCTCTCTATCGCGACAATGACACATGCAGAGAAGACGACGCCTCATGGCGGCAGCGACTTTGGCAGAGGCGGCGGCTAGAGCTCGCGCCCGCCAGGGATGGAGCTCGTGCGCGTCGAGGCTACTGTGTCGTACCGGGGATAGAGTTGGAGCCCGTGTGTGCCACGGCCGAGCCAGATTTTAAACCCCCTGACATTTGTATAATGGGACAATTGGTTTTATTCCCCTAGCTGTGTCCCACTCGACAGGATTGCCCCTAATTTCCAAAAGCCAGCAGTTCTATCCAACCCACTTTGTTCGTCTTGTGCTTTTGCCCTTTGACCGTTTGACCTTCACTTTGAAAACTTCATAACTAATTCATACCAAATTAGAAAAATGCAAATAAGATACCAAAATGTTCGGGAAAACATCACATGTATGTCAATGTCACTTGCATTCATGACAAAAGTGTTGGCAAGTGCTCATCCGAGTTTTAGCTCTTATCACGCCACCATGAATAGTAAAATCTTAAAATTTCAAAAAAGATCCAAAAAACCCAGAGAATGACAAATGTTTTAAGTGCTTGCCAAGTTTCATCAGGGAATGACATTTGTGGAAGTCATGGCAAAAAAACAATCTATTTCGGAGTGTTGATTGTTTTTTTGCTATGACTTCCACAAATGTCATTCCCTGATGAAACTTGGCAAGCACTAAAAAAATTGTCATTCTTTGACACCAATTTTTTTTAGATTTTTTTGAACTTTTTAAGATTTTATTGTTCATGGTAGTGTGATAAGAGCTAAAACTCGGATAGGCACTTACCAACACTTGTGTCCTGAATGCAAGTGACATTGACATACACGTGATATTTTTTTGAACATTTTGGTATCTTATTTGCATTATTCTGATTTAGTACGAATTAGTTATGAAGTTTTCAAAGTGACGGTCAAACGGTCAAAGGGCAAAACCACAAGACAACCAAAGTGGCTTGGACAGAACTGCTGGATTTTGGAAATTAGGGGCAATCCCGTCGAGTGGGACACAACTAGGGGCATAAAACCAATTATCCCTTATATAATTAACACACAGTCCATCTAGAACAAATAATACTTTTTTAAAATACCCATATCTTTTAAACCCTAACTACAATTTTAACATGTAATATATGAAATTTAATTAGAAAGATATGTTGAATATGAATATGATGTTATTTTATCTGTTAAGTATTTTAAAATGCTATTTAGGGTGCAATCTTAATCAATAGAGCACGATCCATCTTTCTTTTGTACCGACACCGACCTAGATTGCAATGAACACCTCATCAAAGCCAAATTGGAGAAGAAAAAACTGTCGGTAGCCGTGCATGTACGCCTCGGCAGAAACTTGCATGAAAAAAGCAGATTTTTCATCTTATGTCGAGAAAGAGAGACCCTCAGCAAGAGCTATTGGGGTCTTAGTCATGGCTATTAGGTTAGGGGCATGCGATATTTCCTTCTCCCATTGTAACACGCAACCTCTTTTGCTAGTTCATATAAATTCCGTAGACATTATTAAGTTTTGAAGTTGTGCTCAATGTTCGGTCCCCCTTGTGTGTATTTCCTGGCTCCACCATTGAACATAGGTGTTGTCGCCGCGCGCCATCGATCCGGTGGAAGGTCACCATCAAGGAGCTCGTGGTGTTTAGGGTGCTCTTCCCATTGAACCCTAGCTCTCCTGAAGTATGCGAAGATGGGTTTTCCCTTTCCTTGGAGGAGGGTGTCACGTCTGTAGATCAATCAGTAGTGGACTGAAGAAATGCAGTTCAGAGTTTTGAACCTACAACCGCACGACCTGGTCAGCGGGCCGAGCCAGGCCGATAGTCAGGAGTGGGTGTGTGTGTGCGCCAGCTGTCGCGTGGCTTACTTGTATGTGTGTGTATGGACGGAGAGAGCATCGAGAATTGAACGAACCCCTTTCCTTCCTGTCTACTCTTTGCTCTCGCTTGCTCTCACCTACCCTCGCCCTTCTCCTCTCATCCTGATCCTCTCCTTCCTTCTCAGATCTCATGATTGGGTCGTGACAATCTGGTAATCAGAGCCCTAAAATTTTTTCCCACCGCCGCTGCTGTCGAATCCGCTCTTGATCGATCGGTAAAATCCACCGGGTCAGGTGCAGGCCACTCCGGTGAGCTCGCCCAAGATCCTGCTTGGGGTTTGATATGATCCCAAACATGACCACGACACCTCCATCCAAGCCCTCGGCGCAGACTCGCCGCGTGCTTGACGCCATGACGGAGACCA